GCGGGGAGGAGGCGGAAATCTTTTTTTTTTTCAATAAAAAATTATATTTAAAAAAAAAAAAGAAAAGAAAATGGCCTCCATAGGCCCAAAGGGAATGGCACTATCAAGAGGCTTGGTCTACTTGGAGGAAGTGGTTGCTAGGACAGGCTTTGAGGTCTCAGATGCTTAAGCCACACCCAGTGTCACTGCCACTTCATGCTACCTGCAGATCCAAAAGTAGAACTCTTTAGCTACCTCTCCAGCACCATGTCTGCCTGCATGCCGCCATGCTTCTCACCATGATAATGGACTAAACCTCTGAACTGTATGCCAGTCCCAATTAAATGTTTCCCCACTTTTTAAGAGTTGCTGTGGCCATGGTGTCCCTTCACAGCAATAGAAACCCTGATACTGAAGTTAGTACAGGGATTTGAGGCACTGATATGATAGGCCTGAGCATCCTTTTGTTGGGAGGAATGTGGACTTTGGGACTTTGGATTAGAAAAGCAGTTGAATGCTTTAAGTGGGGCTTCATGAGCCATACTAGTAGGAGCATGGAAGACAGTGGTGCTGAGGCTGATCTGAACTGTGGGGGCCAGGATCAAGAGGTTCAGAGGAGAAGACTATTAATATTTAGCCTAAAGGTTGTTCTTATGATATTTTGATGAAGAATTTTTTTTATCCTTGTGTGAAAAGTTCCCCTGAGGCTAAATTGAAGGCTTTTGCATTAGTTGCATTGACAGAGGAAATCTCAAGACAGTCTAGTACTGTGTGTTGTATGTGGTTTTTCGTGTCCACTCTTTTATCTGTGTTGTATGATTATTCCTGTTCATGCTTATGAAGATCTATAATGGAAAGTAACAATATGAGCAAGAAAAAAAATACAAAATATACAGTTCAAAGAGAAAAGGGGCACCAGGAAGAAGAATGGAGCTAACTCCTGTGTTCAGGAGATTAAACAGATCAGATAAAACCTGATGTTAAATGCAGTAAAGGGAGCGGTGACTCAGGGAAAGATTCTACCCAACTACGCTTTCAACTTGTAAAAGGGAATTAAAGAAAATCTTAGAGCAGGATGTAAGTACTGCACACTTTTAATCCCAGCACTCGTGAGAGCTGGGGGACTCTCTTGAGTTTAAGGTCATCTGGTCTACAGAATGAGTTCCAGGATAGTCAAGTTTAGGTAGTGAGGGAAATCATCAAAACCAGAAAGCTGGTGAATGTAATTGCATGAGAGGGTCATTTTCTAGCCCCAGGAAGCAGCAGGACTTGGCAGCCGGTCCTCTGCTTCTGGCTTTGGAGTCAAGGATAGAAGAAAGGGGTTATGGAATCTCCCTCCATGACTAAGGAAGGCCACTGAGGCCAGGCATGTGTCAGGGGTGAAGGCCTAGAGAGGCCATTGTGTGAAGCTGTGAAGGGGGCAGCCTGGGTTGCCTTGGAGACCCCAAGATGTTGGAGATGCTAGAGTCATGGGATACCTGCCAAGGAGAGCTGTTAACAGGAGTGGAACCAGCCCAAGAGAAAGAAGTGTGCTGCAGTCAACAAAGCTGAAAGGAATTCTGAGGAATGCTTTGACATCAAACATAGAGATACAGAGTTTGGAGTTTGCCCAGCTGGAGTTTGGTTTTGCTTTGGTCCAGTATTTCCTCACTGGTCTCCTTTTCCTTCCCTTTGGAACATTAATGCATATCCTTTTTTTTTTTTTGGTTTTTCGAGACAGGGTTTCTCTGTGGCTTTGGAGCCTGTCCTGGAACTAGCTCTGTAGACCAGGCTGGTCTCGAACTCACAGAGATCCACCTGCCTCTGCCTCCCAAGTGCTGGGATTAAAGGCGTGCGCCACCATCGTCCAGCCTGTGCCATCATATGTTGGAAGTATATGATCTGTTTTTTTTTTAATTTTGATTTTACAGGTGATTATAGTTAAAAGATTTCATGAGTCTCAGAAGAGACTTTGAACTTTGGACTTTCAAACATTGTTGAGACTGTGATAGAGTATGGGGGCTTCTGTAGTTGGATTTAATTCATTTTTGCAGTATGATATTGCTACAAGCCAATATCATTGCAGTATGATATTGGGGGTTAGGGGGTGGAATGTGGTGGTTTGAAAGAAAATGGCTCCCATAGACCCATAAGGAGTGGCACTATGAGGAGGTGTGACCTTATTGGAGGAAGTGGTCACTTTAAGGCAGGCTTTGAAGTCTCAGTTCCTTAAGCTACGCCCAGTGTCACTGTCACTTCCTACTGCCTGCAGATCCAGATATAGAACTCTCCAGCACCATGTGTGCCTTCATGGGCTATGCTTCCAACCATGATGACAAAAGACTAAACCTCTGAACTGTAAGCCAGACCTAATTAAATGCTTTACTTTGTAAGAGTTGCCTTGGTTATGCTATCTCTTCACAGCAATAAGATGCCTAACTAAGACACATGGCAAGTATTTTATCCACCAAGCCATCTCCTCAGACCCCTATGTACAACTTTTCTAAACCATGATCCGGTAAAGTTTCCGATACATAGCAGTCATGAAAATCTCAGATTGAAGAAAAGTGTCATGTTCTCAAATCTCACCTGAGACCACTCCATGGCCACCCACTTGGGGCAATCAAACAGGTTGCACGTCTGCATCACTTTGGGCTTGGGTGCATACATGCACTTCCATTCTTCTACTTGTAGGATCTCTGCATGCATGGATTCCTCCACGCACACGAAGCTCCGTCTCTGGATGCCTCCTCCACAGGACACTGAACACGCCGTCCAAGGATTATGTTCCCAGCTCAAAAGCAAACAAAGAAAATTACATTACTTATTTAATGTATGCTCATTTGTTTCAGGAATGTAAGGGCTTTCAGAAAGGGTGACTTTGTAGTATTGAGTCATGGCGCTATTGAAAGAACACAAGACTCAAGTCTCCTAGGACTTTATATCCACCTCAGTTAGCCTGCAAAGGGCCACTATGAAGATTGAGCTAATTAGAATATAGAGTGTGAAAGGGCCTTTAAATGTTTCTCAATTATAAAGAACTAATGGACCATATTACTGAAAATCATAGAATGTCAAAGTCAAAAAAGCACCATACTATTTGGTTATGGTGCTGCTGCCTGTGGTTTTCATACTTTGGAGGTAAAGGCAAGAAGATCACAAATTTGAGGCAACCTCAGCTACATAGTCTGAGGCTAGCCTGGACCACATGAGATCCTGTTTCTAACAAAATAGCAAGGAAGAAAGGAAGGAAACAAGGACAGGAGGGAGGGAAGGGACACTGGTCATCTAGCTAACAAAGAAGATTCAAGTTTCTGAGCAATGCCTCTAGTTCACTGACTCTCAAGCTGGGGGTCATGACCCCTTTGGTGGTCAAATGACCCTTTCATGGGGTCACATATCAGATATCCTCCTGCATATCAGATTTTTTCATTATGATTCTTTTTTTTTTTTCGAGACAAGGTTTCTCTGTGGCTTTGGAGCCTGTCATGGAACTAGCTCTGTAGACCAGGCTGGTCTCAAACTCACAGAGATCCACCTGCCTCTGCCTCCCGAGTGCTAGGATTAAAGGTGTGTGCCACCATTGCCCGGCTTCATTATGATTCTTTACAGTTATTAACTAGCAATGAAAATAATTTTATGGTTAGAGTCACTGCAAAATGAGGAACTGCATTAAAGGGTCGCAACATTAGAAAGGTTGAGGACCACTGTTCTAGTTCTTTCTTTATTTTTTTCTGATATTGTTCAAGACAAGCTGAATGTCCCTGGCAATGGATAGTCGCACTCCACATACAACTTTCCAAAGGCAGCTCATTCTGCCTCATTCTTAAGTACATCTTTTTGTTTTTATCATTAAGCCTGCTGCTGTTTAACTTTATAAAAGGGAAAATAACTATTCCTTCAAAACACTTAGCATCCATCCTAAAAGGAAGGGGATCTCTGACTCACCGGGGAAGAGGTTGGAAGTGGTCATAGGGCATGATCTCTTTAAATCCATCACTGCAAAGGGAACCAGAGGGAAAGTCACTTTCTGAATCCATCCACACATGTGGTCATTCACTAACACGGGTTCCTTGTGAAAAACTCAATGAACACATTTGTTATTGACTGGCCTGTATATGATATCCCACAAGACAGAAGTCTTTCCAATTGAAAACCAAAACTGCCAAGGGACTCATCAGCCACTCAACCAATTCAGCTCTTAAGAGAAACACTCGTACAATTGAATATAAAAATGAAAGAAGAACCAATGGTATATTAACTAAAGGAAAAATTCTCTTCATTTAGGTAAGTCTGTTACTTTATTTTGAAAATCACTATACTGATATATTAATGCCCCAAACACAATGTCATGTTGGCCTTCTCTTTGGAGAACCACTCTGCTTCCAGACCGTCCTTTGAAAGGTCTCTGTTAATAGTGACGCTCAAGCAGAGTACAGAAAATGGGCATTACAGTACAGGAAATGTGAGCCATGGACAAGGCTGCTTTTCCCACTTGCACGCTGTGGCCTTGGCCAGCTAGAAGGAAGCTGGAGGATCCAGGGGATTGATACTGGTCTGATATTTTAAGATACTGTCGGGAAGCCAGGAAACTTGCCCAGACAATCCAAGTCAGCAGGCGCTAAATTATGCAGTAGAACAATTTCTGCATAGCTTTTCTGCTTTGGCATGGGAACTGCTTGCTTCCTTGCACAATGCATTATTTATATGGAATTAAATGTGATCACTTCAAAAGTCAAGATGTGCTAAGGGGTGACCCAGTTTTAAGCCTAAAATAGTAAGTGGGAGCTATTTGTGACTGACAGATGGACTATGCATGGATTATCCTGGCAGATCCATATATGTATGGAGCTTTGATACATGTGTTTGAAAGAATGTCCCAAAAGACTTCATTACAAAGATCTTATGGATGGATACATAATCCCATGAAAAGAGAGAGCTAGTCCAAGGAACCAGATCAGCAAACATGTCTTAGTTCCTACTAACTGGTTACAAATATGACCTGCCACCGGGAGATGTTCAAAAGTCGTGAACCGGAAGCACATCACCCAGCGAGACCCACTGTGCCCCAATCGGAGACGACACATTTCTTTGGAACGTGTGGGCAGCGGCACTGACCTTGACGGGCACGGGTCCATGCCGCATTCCTTCAGCTTCGGTTTGGGCTTCACATTTTCTGGGTAGTAGTGGCAGTAGTGGTCAGGCACGACCCTTTTCAAGCGGATGTCCATGCATTCGGCTGAGTTGAGCTGATAACCTACGGATGGATGAGGGGCAGGGATGCAAGCTGCATCAGTTGGGCGCTTGCTTGGCAAAGGTATTGACCACGTGCTCGCCTTCCTCTCTAAGAAACCTTGCCCAGTGGTCTCTATGGAATTCAGCTCTGTGACACACAGAGGGCCAGGTGAGGATTACCAAACATGAATCCCAGGGCTTTTCATGGTAATTAAGGCAGAAAGCAGTGCAACCGGAGCCCAGGAGCTGGGTGCCTTCTTCGAGGAGTCTCAGATTCTTCTGAAACGGCTAAAACCGGTGGCCAAATACAAATGCTTGAACTGACCGTGGTCTACTGATGCACATTACAGATGTCCATTTTAGGGACTTTTAGGGACTGTCCAGACCTTGGTACGGTTTGGTTCTTCATGGTTCTCAGGCTATGCCTGTCTGTTCCTGATCACTGTGGTAGCCCCTCCCTCCGTCCGGTTTCCTTGTTTTACCCTTTATTCTCCTACAGCAGAGCCCATTCCCATCTTCTTCCTCTTGCCAGATACCTGTTCTGATTTATTGTTATAAGTCCTTAAGTATGAAATTGTCTTGTATAACATTGTTTGGGGTGCATGCTTTGAATTCAACTGATTAATATATATATTATATTAACATATAATATATTATATATATTATGATTAAATGTATAAACTTGATTAAGTTAGAAAATATATCTGTGTGCTGCGAGAGCACCTCGGACATGCCAAGTGAGCTCACTGCCCTTGACCTAGACCCCCAGTGCTGACGATGTGTGAAATGTTTTGAACCTTGATCTATTTTCCACTGAAGTCTTTTTTTCTCTACACTGTAAAGTCGGCAGTGTTTTGAGAGCTGACTCTTGGGCATTTTCTTCACAACAGTCCACTGTTTGCCTCTGCTCGGTTGACTCCTCTGCTCTCCTGAGGTGGCCAGGGCACCTTCAAGGTCAATCACCTTGCCTTGTGGGGAATTAGCGTTGTCAGCAGAGGCAGGACCCAAGGCCACCTTCCTACTTCCTCTACCACACAGGCTTTCAAAGGGGAAGGAATGAAGACTCACTGCTGATTTTCACAAATCCAATTTGAACCATTTTTTCCCCCTTTGAGGAAAGCAAATATTCCAAGGTACTGAACATAGTAAACCTAAAAAAAATAGCTCAAGGCAGGACCCTTTCCTTTGCTAAGAGCGCTGACTCTGGCTTTCCTGTCCTACAGGTCATATCAACTGTTGTTTGTTTTCTCTTTAAATAAGGTAATTTCTTTCAAAGCCAAAATGAGCTTTATAAAATAAAATAAAACACTGAAGCTAATCTCTCAATGTCTGCCAATTGGTGTAAAGGTCTAAAAATACATTTCAAGTCCAGATTGCTCAGAGGAATCTGGCTTTATAAATCGCCAGGCAGCTTTCTACAAGACTTGGTTGGAAGTTAGCTGACCTCGGAGGACCAGGGGACCGACTGGCACGCATTACAAACAGCAAGGTTGAAACCACAAGAATGAAAATTCAAGTGGCGTCAATAAAACGCTACTCTGGGTGCCAGTGTCTGCCAGAAAGACTACATTATCAGATGGCCGTGGCGGTCTCGGAGACTTCCCAGACAATCTCGGGTGTATCATGTGGGTAATTACAGACGAGAGCAGGCACTCCTTCCAGTACTCTCGGTGCCTCAGAGACCGACCAACTGATTTCCTTCGTTATCCAAAAACATCTCTGGCATGCCAGTCATACAATCACATAGGTTTGATTACTAATACAATTAAAATTTGGCCGTGTGTTCTGTATGGGGCTGATGTATTTTTTATTTCCCCCAAACAAATATGGAATAAGATTACAATTCCTTGAGTCAGAGAAAAGTCTGTGTCCTAACTGGAAACAGTCTTCTAACGTGACTCGATAGAGGTCATACAGGTGTTTATAATTAGGGAGAGAATTCCTTTTCCTCTCTAATTTTATTGCAGTTTAGAGATTTACCAAGAGTGAAGAAAGAAGGCAGATTGTCTTTCAGTATCCTGAACAAACGTGTGGGACAGAGCGGGCAGCCCCCGCAGCCTCTTTGCATTCTTCTGCCTCCCTTCCCGCTGGGGCTGATCTCACTGGGAGGTGCCCCTGTGTACACTCATGCTTCCAGAAGGATGGATCGTCTTTCTGTGAGCATAAAAGTATGAAAAAAAAAACACTCCCAAGAATTTGATCAATGGAACTATACCGAAACCTGTTGTAAAATGTCTCCCCTAGAGTGAAGGACTTCTCCTTGGCTTTAGTCCAAACAGAAGGGTGTGTCTCTCCGAAAAGCTAAGTGTGTGAGACTAGGAATAAGTAAGAAAGAGAAGCCTGTGAGAGTAAGAATTAAAAAATCCCCCCCATCTCTTTGTGATCCATCATTTTGGGACCCGTGAGGTACCATTGTCTTCCCTGGACCGGGTTGATCTAGCTCAGACTCTCCATTGTTAAAGAGTGTTTCTCCTGAGCAGGCTTGGGGAGAGCTCAGGGATTCTGTGTTTCCTTGGAGCCTCGTGCAGTCACTGATGGAAGATCTAAAGAAGCTTTTGTCACCCATAAAACTGCCTGTCTTGGGATAAATGATGTAGCTTAGTTGGTGACGTGTTGATTTAGCATCACAAAGCCCTGGGCTTGATTCCCAGTCCTGCAAAAATTGATCATTGTGATGCCTGCCTATAATCCAGCACTTGGTAGGTCGACATAGAAGGACCAGAAGTTTTCAAGGTCCCTGGCTACATAGCAAGTTTGAGCGGACCCTGACCTACAGGAGAACCTGTGTCAAAAACCAAACAAGCAGACAAGTGTTTCAGGTTTGACAAAATCCAGAACTTGACAGTAAGCCCAGAGAAGGTTCAAGCTGGCAGGAAGTTAGTGTTTTTATTACAATTCTGTTTTTACTCCGTTTGTCTTTGTGGTTGTGTTCTGTGTGGCCAGAGACAATCATTCCCTTGCCGGGTGTCATGATTAAGTTATTTTTTTCTAAATATGTTTAAGTTTTAAAAATACCCATTTAAAGAATACTCCTCCAGTCACTTGGGGTGGTAACACATACAAGGCAAAGATGGTGATGTCACTGCGGCTCTAGCCAATAGCCAAAGGCATAGCTCTACAGAGTAACCCTCAAACTGCAGAGGGCACCATGAAACCCCAGGGTGACACAGCAGAGCCACCCTCAGAGTGCTGCCTAAGGAGCTGGAGGTGGGTCTGAGAGTTTACAAGCTGGTGCCGCTGATGCTGGAGTTTCCAAAGGACACTGGTGCTAAAGTTTCAGAAGGATGCTCTCCTGGCTACTTTTGTGTCAACTTGACACTACCTAGAGCCATCTGAGAGGAGGGAGCCTCAGCTGAGAAACTGCCTCCATGAGACCAGGCTGTAGGCAAGCCTGTAGGGCATTTTCTTAATTAGTGATGGATGGGGGAGGATCCAGCACATTGTGAATGGGGACTTCCCTGGGCTGGAGTTCTGGGTTCTCTACGAATGAGGAGCAAGCCAGTAAGCAGCATCCTGCATGGCCTCTGCATCAGTTCCTGCCTCCAGGTTCCTGCCCCTTTTGAGTTCCAGCCCAAGGCACTTCCATGATGGACCCTGGTGTGAAATAAACCCTTTCCTCCCCAAGTTGCTTTTAGTCACGGTATTTTAGCTTAGTAATAGAAACCCCAAGACAGATGCCTACAGGATCATCACTGAGTGTCCATCACTGTGTGACCAAACAAACTGGTTTGGTACTCAGAGACATTCACTTTTTTTTTTTCTTTCATTCTACGGGCCTTGACCCATCCCTAGGCTGTTCTTATTGCATTCCTAAGGACACAGGCTCCCACTGGGGTCAGGGTGCTTCCCCACAAGAGAGCCAGCATCTCCTTTTAGGGGAAACTCGAGTCCAGGAAGATCCGATCTGCATATTCATGAAACCTGACACTGCCCAAGGAGTCCTCCTCCGTGTGCCTGGAGTTCAGAGGAGAGAGGCCAGGATCCCTTCCTTCCTGATTTTCGCAGTGGGTGCTATTCTGTACTCTTCAAGGGAGGAAATGATCTGTGGCTGGGCTGAGCTAAGAGCTAGTCTAACTCTTGACACAGATGCCTGCCCAAGATGTGTCCTTCGCACAGGGATAGAGGATGGTTCGGAAGGCACCGAAGGGCAACATAGTTAGAGCCTGACCATGCCACCTGATGATGTGGAACCCTTGCTAAGTTTCACCTCAGCCATTCATAAAACAAATACCAACAGACTTTCTCAGGCTGTGAGGGATGTGACCAAGACCCCTGGGCATACAACTGGTTGGGTTGCAAGCACCCAGTATCACTGTCTGGTATACACAGGGAACCTTCCCTCATTCTTTGGGAACCCCAGTAACTTGGGGATCCTGGACTGGCACCAGTTTAGAATCCCCACTCTCTTGTTTAAAGCTCGGTTCAGAAAGAGTCACTTTGGTGTTGACTGTAGCTGTCTCCCCATCTCTTCCAGGCTATTGTGTCTCCACACCAAGCAGACCAATGTCTACCAAACCCCTTTTTATTTTCCATATGGGCACTTGGATTATGACCCCAACCTTCTTCAAGTGTCTATCAGGACCTTGAATTTAGCACACAAGATGCTTCCTTCTACCCCAGTCAGACAGTCCATCTCGGTCAGACATGTGCGGATCCTGACTCTCTGCCCTGGGTATCTCAGAATGGAGTCTGTGCCTCACCTCCTCCACAAGTCACGGTGCAGGGAAAGAAGTCAGTCTGTCTCCACTGGTGGCTGATGGGCTGGTAAAAGAAGAACTGGACCACGCTGCCTTTGGCCGCAGTGTACCTGGTCTAGACAGAGAGAACCATGATGGCATGGCACATTCCACACAGTGAGCCCCGGCTCTTCCTGCCTGCCTTTGCCTACCTTAGGCAACACCCACAAGTATCACAATAAGTTCAGCTACAGGAGGACTAGGAGGGCTTTACTGGGATATATAAAAGATTACATAGATTTATGTTTAACAAAATAATAATAAATTCTAAAATGTAATAACGCCTGAATGGCATTTATAATAGAAAGCAAGGATGCTTTAGCATTTGAACCAGATAAAAATGGGAAAAGGAGAAAATCACAAAGACACGGCAAGTTTTGATAAATTCCATTTACACCGGTGTGGTATAATGACAAACTCCATCAGGTAAGATCTCAGATATTCTACAGCAAACTTCACATAAACTGTGCACACAGAGAGCTCTGCCCTGCAGTGACAGACACCAGAAGGAAGGCTGCTGTCCTCATTTCTGTTCATTGTATCACATGCCCCAAATAATACAAGAAGAATGAAAGCAGGGATGTAGACTACAGTGAGAAGCGATGGCTACAGGGAGAACATAATGCCTCAGTCAAGAGTATCTACTGCCTACTGGTGGCCAGGTACACATATTGCAGGAGCAAAATCTTCCTGCGCTGCAGGGTAAATGACCCCATTGCGACAGAGATGGGACGGGAGCCACCATGAGAACGTGTTGTTAGGGAAAACAAGATTATATAATGAGAAACCTACAGAAAGAAGAAAAGGCACAGTGTCCCGGAACAACCTAGCTATGAAAATAGAGTTTCTTGAAGAATAAAAAACAGAATTTTTTCTTTTCTCCTGGTGAAGTATACGTTACATGTAAAAGTACAATAGTTTTCAACAGCTCATTTCCTAAAATACCCACGTTTATAAAAACCTATGACATAAAGTATGAAGATAAACATAGCCCAGAAAACCCACAACTGCGCTGGCAGGAGCGTGGAGTAGGTGGCCTGTCCCCTCCTCCCCCCCCCCCCCCCCCCCCCCCCCCCCCCCCCCCCCCCCCTCAGAGTTCTGTTTTAGATGGAAGCTATCTTTATACCAGATGTTCTTCATGGAGTAAGATGGGAAGGGGTACAGGGAAATGCAGGGCATGGGCATCAGCAATCGCAGGTGGACTTTTAACCCCCCCCTGCACTCCCCCCAAGAGAAGTCCAGGTGTTGCTTGATCCTGTGATGTCCAAGACGAGATGACGTAGGCAAAGAATCCCTTGCCTGAGCCACAGCACAGCTGGGCAGCACTACAGTGTTCTGAGCGAGAAAAACAATAACTGACGGAAAAGACCGTTTCCTAGAAACCCACATTATCTGGACAAGCTCCCAAGTCAGAGAAAAACATCAGGGTCGTTCTTCCTTCGTTGTCAGAGTCTCTGACATTGCCAGGTTTTCTCTCCCGCCGAGCACACCACAGCCATGAAGAGAATGACACGTTTGTTCACACACAGTGAGTGGGGTGTGCGTAACACCCTCTTTGACAAATGTTTTTAAACAGCCCTTTGAGGCTTGAGGGCCCAAAAGTTTCTAGACAATGAAGCTGATGTCCAGAGCTGTTCATGCAGTCTGAGAGAGCCAGGGTTCGGAGACGGGGGACGAGGGCATTGCTAAAACAGAGTGCAGAGGGTACGCTGCCAAGTCACATGCTGTTAAGAAGTGAGTGTGTGTTTGGTTAAGAACGTCAGAAATCGTCTATATGTGTGCAAATGGCATGTGAATATATAGTATTAAGATTGTTTTGAGAATCCTATACTATAAATGCACCTAAAGGCATTTTCCCAAACCACGTGTCCCTTTTGCAATGATCACTGTGGTTTCCCCTTCTGATGTGCTCCTCAGTATTATGAAGGCATGCACACATACATGACTGTCCATGCACACAGACATGTCTCAAAGAAATGTTTTGTTTCCTGGGAGGATGACTCAGTTGGCAGAGGGTCTGCCATGGGAGAACCTGAGTCTGATACCCAGTGCCTGCATTTAGAGCAAAATCTGGGGATTCTGTACACACTTGCGATTCCAGCATTGGAGAGGCAGGACAGGAGAATCCTGGGTTCACAGGGACAACAGCCTAGCCTGATCAGTGAGCCCTGGGCTGGAATGAGTCTTAAAACACGGGTAGACAAGTGCTAAGGAGCAACAGCCAGGTGGACTTCCGACTTCTGCATACATGCACACACGTGTACCCACACACAATAGCCCGGGTGGACTTCCCATTTCTGCATGCCTGTGCACACACATGTACCCCCACACAACAGCCCAAGTAGACTTCCGGCTTCTATATACATGTGCACACACATGCAATCACACACAACAGCCATATTAGTTTATTAATACGTGTGATCTTGTTGAAAGAGTCAACAGGACCCCTTCAAGCTCTGTCCACGCTGATACTATAACCACTGTCTTGAGATACTAATCTCTGTGGACATCTCCCCCATCCAATCACTGTCTCTTGCTCAGTCAGAGCCCTCTGTATTGACTCAATGAGGTTATCGCTTTTCTTAGCAATTAAAAGAAAAAAAGTATTGAGTCTGTGTGTGTGTGAGAGAGAGAGAATCACCCCGCCCCCAGATTGCTGGATTATCATTTGTTTTTCATTCCTTGGAGATTTTCTTATACACCAGATTAGTTTTAACCCGTGTTGCTTTGGAAATAGATTGACCGCTACACTTAATTCCTTTATAGGAGGGAAGACGGCTCCGCTCTACCTAGAGGGAGAAGTAGGCTCAGGGACCCGGGAAGACAGTCTGAAAGGATGCCAGAGCAGGGCTCTTCATCAAATGGGACCCTGATCTCGCATCAGCTGCTGTGGTACAAGACACTCACAGGGCTGAGGGTGGCAGCGACAGCCCTGTCAAAGGAAGTCAAGGGATGACCCCTGCGCTCTCCGTTTCTTCCCTATAATGGGGTGTTTGGCCATTGTCCCTCAAATCCACCAAAGCCCCAGACACATGGTGGTGATGAATATGAAATGATTTCCCTCTGGAAGAACAAAGATTGATACTTAACCCTGAAGGTCTCTACTCGAGAGAGTAGAACCGTTTTTGGGAGTGACCTGCTGTGAAGGAAACACAGATACACACTCTCTATGAACGCAATCATCGCCGGCTTCCCGAAGAACACCCTTGCTGTGTTTCAACAGGATGCTCTGAAGATGGTCCATCTACCTTGAAGATGAAATCGGCCATCAGGGGTCCGGGAGTCTTGAAGGTCTGTCTGTCCGCACCCTTCTGAAACTCTATCGTCGTGTTTTCGACAACAAAAACCCCGGGGGTGTTGAAGCTGTGTTCTCCTCTGTTTCCTTGGAGGGTTTTTGACTCAATAACTGGAAAGTTAAGAATAGAATTTAAATATGAGAGCTACCCTACAGACATCTCATTTCAAGTGACATTTTTACTGCCTGTGACATCGGTACGTGTGACCAACAAATACGGAACGATCTACTCAGTTGATGGCATTGATTCATATGGGCAGAAGGGACTTGCAAAATTTGGAGGGACTAGCAAGGGTTTTTGTTTCATTTTGTTTTGCTTTGCTTTGCTTCAAATAGGTTTACTCAAGTTCTTGGAACCATTTCCACCCCAGAATAAAGAGGAAAGTTTTCTTAGTTTATGCTTTTTCATGAGGCACCTAAAACCACAGAGTGAGGAAAGCCATGTCTCTTACAGAAGAAAGAAGCTCAGTTTTGCTTTAAAGTATTGTTTCTTCTCCTGCAAGTATAAATTTGCGGACATCTCTACAGAGCTCTCCTATGCGGTCTTCTCTCATCTGGTCCATGGGGATCTAGGGCGCAATAACCGAACCAGGAACTGAAGGGAGCCTGTGTGCTGTGCTGGGTGGCTGTTGTCTCGCCAGTGCTGAAGAACACCTTTCCCTGTTTCCTAGGAACTCAGCAACTAGAAAGAGCATGGGAGAGTCTGGGAGCGGGGTGATCTGGGAGCAAGGGAAGACACCATCCCCTAAACCACAGAGCAGACTTTCTATTAATTTCATTTTGATGCCTAGGAGTGTTGCAGAGGCAAGTGCTTTCATTCTCAGTTCCCACAGAGCCCTCTGAAGCATCTGCAGCAGGCAGCAAGGCAGAAGATCCCAGGAATTCACAACCACTCCACCACTATGAAGAAAGAGGGTATGTGTCTGTGTCTACTGTCCACAGCCCAGCTAATGTCCCCACTCTGGTTTCCACAGTGAGTGGGGGGTATGGTTGAGCCCAGAAGAACCACAACCTCATACAGCGGGAAGTGCCATCAGAAACAAAAGCCTTCTTCTGTATCCAGATCTTTGAAGCTCAATGGTAACTGTACATTTTAATATGATATTTATTTTATATGTATGCATCTGTATGTGAGAAGACATGACAGTATCTTCACCATGTGTGTGCAGGAACTGGTGAAAATCAGAAGGAGACATCAGATCCCCTGGAACTGGAGCTACGGGAGAGTGTGAGCTGCGGTTTGGGCACTGAACTGGACCCAGGTCTCGCTCCTGCAAGAGCAGTAAGTTCAACTGCTGACCCATCTCTCCAGCCCCATAAGAACAACTTTAAATATTTTAATCTGTACTAAAAAGAGAGATAAGGAAGGAAGGAAGGAAACAATAGCTTTAAAGATAAAGAATGCCTCTACTTGTTTCAAAAACTGAAGGACTTACACCGAAATGATCAGCTGGGGCTCCTTTGAAAAGAGGCAGAACCAGGTGATCAAAAGATGTGTTTAGACTGTGGAGGCCAGGAAAACCCTTTCAGGTGGCTATCTATGAGGGCTTCCAGCTAGCCCTACAGAACCAAGCCTGTGCTTACAGCAGATGCATGTCTGCAGTGTGTCCCTGTCTTGTTCATCATTGCTTTCCTTTGGTCATTATGTATAGTGCCATGATTCTACTCACGCTCAGCAGACAGGACTTGGGGGAGAAATTGTATTCTTCCAGTGGGTGGAGGTTTCAGCCTATAGCATCTTGGCCTTTTGGGTTCTTGTTAGTGGAACATTTGATTTAATATTATTTTGAATTTTTAAAGATTTTTTTTAAAGTGTGTGTGTGTGTGTGTGTGTGAATATCTTCCACATGAGTGAAGCTCCCAGAGTGGCCAGAAGAGGGCATTGTATACATCTGGACTTGAAGGCAGATGTCAGTCATCATGTCAGTGCTGGGCACCGAATGTGAAGCAGTCAGCACTCAGACACTGAGATATCTCTCCAGGCTTTTTACGTTTTTTTAATTACTTTACTTAATTGTTGGGGTGGCACTGTATGGTGGCTCTCTGGTCCTAGCAGAGGCCCTGGGGATTGAACTGGGGATTGAGTTAGGCTTGGCAGCAAGCACCTTCACCTTCACCTTCACCTTCACCTTCACCTTCACCTTCACCTTCATCTCACCAGCTGTCTCAAACAGAATCAGTGCCAAAGTTTTCCTATAATTCCATTGCCTTTGCATAGACTTTCTGATTGCTTGCATTTGGGGAGGGACGCACGGCTGGAAAATCTGGGGCTGTGGGTTCTCTATAATAATATGGCTAGGATTAGAACACGCTAGAAATTCAGGATCTAAACAGCTCTAGGCAGATTGTAAGACGGGCATTCTATAATTAAATTCCATTCCACAACAAAGGGACTTGAAATTAACAGTACCAAACATTCTCAGTTTTCAATACTGCAGCCATTTGGAAGGCTGCAGTTACTACGGGCTCTAAAAGAATGATTTATGACTGCAAAATAAGCTTGATTTCAGAAATACAGCTCTTTTTTTTTAAATGGTTATATAAAACAAGAAAACAAAACCCCTTCTGTACTGTGAAATTCAGACATGTAAACTACTCCTTTGCAAGGCGGCCAGTGGAGAAGGGTGGCTTTCAGAAAGGCTTCCAGAGCTGCCTGTGGGGCTTCAGCAGGGGAAAGCTCCAAGCAATAGATCTGTCACTTGGAGAAGTGAGAACATTTCGGAACTCCCTCCAGAAGAGTGTCAGTCTCCAGGACAAAGCAGGCTTCATCTGTCAGCATGCTCTCCTGAAAATGAGGCTCTCCAGGATGTCCGTCCATATTTGTTCTGCGTATTGGATGCTTATTCTGTTCATACACCTTTAACAACAATCTCTGAAAGCTGGCAAACCGGGCCTCAGGAGACCGAGGCAGGCAGCTTAGCCCAAGTCCAAAGCCAGCCTGGGTTACAAGCCAGCCTGGGATACACGGGGAGTTCCAGGGTCACTTGGATAACAGAGTGAGACTTTCTTTCTAAACAACACCATGGACTTCCGAAACTGAACTTGGGGAGCCACCGCCAGTGTCATTAGGGCAACACATTAAAAATACACTTTAAACAACTGTTAACGTGTCAAGCCGTAGAACCTGCCCAGTTGCTTGCTTGCTTTCTTTGTGGTGTGTTTGCCTGCCTTCCCAGTACTGGGTGTTGAACCCAAGGCCTCACACTACTACTGAGCTAATTCCCAGCCCCAAGTCACCTAGATAAAAGATGCCATTTCATTATTCACTCGTGCTCAGCGTTTCCACCACAGGATACGATAGCAGCGGTTCTTGCCATTCCCAAATAAAAGCTCTTTCTTAGCCAGGAAATCCTCCATCTATTTCTTGTCTCTGTAGCTTTCTCTCTCTTGGTATTTCATCTTATGGAGTCAGGTGACATGTGACTTTTTGCAATTGGTGTCCTTCATTTGGTCAGTAATTTCAAGGACCATCCACCTACATCACAGCGTTCATCAGAATGCCTTCCTTTTGATTGCCAAATAATATTCCACCTGAGTCCTGATTATCAGTTCAGCAGTTGAGAGATACCTGCGTTGTTCTCTCTGAAGGCTAGCAGGACTGACGAGCTGTGGATATTCAGCACTTCGTTTATTACTTATTTATGCAAATTTGTATGGATTGGGTTTTTGTTTTTGTTTTTTGAGATAGTCTCACCTAGGCAAGGCTGGCCTTGAAGACCCAATCCTCCTGGCTCTGTCTCCTAAATTCTGGAATTGCTGGTATGAGTCACCATGCCTGGTGCTTTTTGATAGTTTTTAGTCCAAATGTTATCTCGCAATTTTTTTTTTTTAGTTTCTAAGTATCACATTTTAATTCACAGCGAGGAAGAATTGCCCCCACAGAGTGCTGAAGATTTTCAAGCCTGTGAAAAACAGGTCTCTAGAATGTTCTGGTTTTTCACATCTTGCTTCACTAGGTGTCAACCACAAGGGACTGGAGAATTTTTGCTGAAGAGCTTATCACGAGGAGATGCTCAGTCAGTAAACTGCTTGCAGCCCAAGTATAATGACCTGAGATGGTCCCCACAGTAGCCACTTCAGAAACAAACAAACCAAACAGGTACAGCAGCAAGTGCCTGTAAACCTAGCATGAGAGAGGCAGATGGCTGGATCTACGGGGCTTGCTGGCCAGACAGGCCAGCCAGTTGGTGAATCCCAGGTTTAGTGAGGGAGCTTGGCTCAAAGAATGAGGTGGGTAGTGATTGAGGAAGACCCTGACATCCAACTCGGACTTTGATTCTCATGCGCGCGCACACACACACTCACACAATTCATACACGCTCACACACACTTGTGAACACAAACACAAAGATTTTAGTGTGAGGATGACTTGAAATATCTATCCAGGACCATTTTGTTGAAAATTTTCCTCAGGGGATATTTGAGCGGTCTCCTCCCATTTTATAATCCTCTCTAGTCTGGGATTAAAGGCAAGCACCACTGGGATTAAAGGCAAGTGCCGCCTGGTTTCTATGGCAACTAGCATGCCTACTGGGATTAAAGGTGGTGTGTTACCACTGCCGGGCTGTAAGGCTGACCAGTGTGGCTGTTTTACTCTCTAGGTAAAGCTTTATTTATTACAATACAATTGAAATGCCACTATACTACCCTAAAGCATGAGAATAATTCATAGTGCACACACACACACACACCATTACCAAAGAAGAAGGAGTGGGAGGGGACACAGGTAAGGGTTTGAGAGCACCTGAGACGGGCTGGATGGAGAAAAGGGAGGGGGCAAAGTGATGTATACCTATTCCGATTCAAAATATATTTAAAATATTTCCTAGAGACACAGACTGAGTATACTGGATAGAAATCTCTACCATAGCAAAGAAGTGGGTTTTCATTTGTTCGTCTGATGTTGCTTTTATGAAATTTCATAACACGCTGAGGGGAAATTCTACTTACAGAGACGGGCAGGTCCTTTCACAGTAATTCGCACGCTTCGACTGCCCAAAGGAACAGCGATCACGTTTTCTTCTTCTAGAAAAGAACACAAGACAGAGGCAATGAAAACTCATGTTGAGGACCCATGAGTGTGAGCGAATGCAATAAAACCTGGCAGTTCCTCGGAACAATGAATAACTGTACGGGCAGTGATTCTGCCTCTGGGTAGACGCCTGTGAGACCTGAGAGCAAGGACTCACACAAGCGTTTGCACACACATTTCACAGCAGCATTGTCTGCAGTAGCCAAAAGGCAGAGGCCAGTGGCCAGCCCCATAATGACTCCTATGCTGTACCCATAGGTAAAGCAAATTCTGCCGCACATTCTCACATGGACCAACCGGGAAGAAACTATACTAAGTGATTGTAAAAGGACCCAGAGCCAAGTTTGTACAAGCAGGAAGTCGTTATTTGGGTGTGGGAGGAAGAGGGAATAAGGAGTTTTTGCAGAGTGGGTAGAGAACTTCAGGTGTCAATCATTTCTTTTCAGACAGCCTCTCATTGACCTAGAACACACTAATTAGAACACACTAACCACCGAGCCCCGGCATCCTCCCGTTTCTGCCTCCTCAGCTCCCGGACTATAAACATACGCGGGTTTTACGCGGGTGCCGAGGACTCTCGCTTGCAGGGACCTAATACATCCATCTCTCAAGCCCTTATCACCACCACTATAGTCATTTTTAAGTATATGGTTCAGGGGAGTCATGATCATCACCTGTCTCCTGAACTCTATCAAAAGATCCCACACACACATGTGCACACACACACATGTGCACACACACATGTGCACACACACGCATGCACACAAATAAAGTATGTTCTCAAGTGGCTCAAGTGGCTGATTCAGTGCTGAGAGACATATCAATGTATTGGGTAACCAAAAGAACAGAGGCTTACTTAAAATCATCTGTATAGATAAAAAGCATTTTCTAAAATTCTGCATACATTGCTTATACCAGCCTTCGTAACAGCAGGGATAGAATAAACATTCTCAGTTCGGTAAAGAACATTATGGGCCATGGGCAGACTCAATGGTGAATAGCTAAAATGATTTCCATAGGGCAGAACAAATATTATCATCGCCATTATTTTTCCTGGAGATTCCTGTCAATGGGACTAGAAAATAATAATACTTGTAAATATATTCCGGAAAAAGATGTTAAAAATACCATAGTTATAAAAAAATTAAATTCAAGAGATATTCTGGCTTTCAAAAATTTTATTATCTAATTGTATATTTAAAGATATTTATTCAATGCTATGCTATATATATCATACAAGCATAGTGCATATTATGTTAACGCACAGCATTATGCATTGTGGGATATTACTTTAACTATGTGAAGGTATGTTACATTCGTTTATGTTGCATTTGTTTAATTATGTAAAGATGCATTACTGTTTGACCCTGCCTGCCTAAGGCACCTGACTGGTCTAGTAAAAAGCTGAACAGCCAATGGCTAGCAGAAGAGGGATAGGTGGGGCTGGTGGGCAGAGGGAATAAGGAGGAGAAGGAATCTGGGTTTGAAAAAGAGAGAATGAGGGAGGGGAAAAAAGGGAGATACCCGGGCTAGCTTGCTAGGCAGTCACCAGACAGACAGACACGAAGTAAGATGTACGGATGAAAAAAAGGGAACAGGCCCCAGACAAAAAGTAGATAAAGAGAAGCAGGCTATTTTAAGTTTAAAAAGCTAGCGAGAAACAAGCCTAAGCTAAGCCTGAGCAGTCCTAACTACTAAGTCTCTGTGTCACACGTCAGGGGCTGGTGGTCCGAGGAAGACTGCTACACTTATGCATGGGTGTAGGCATGCGAGCAAGCATAACATAAGCTAATGCAATAGCAGTGATCATGCTCACCATCAGGCTGGGCCTGCAGACACCACTTCCACTCCAAAGAATGAGGCTTTTTAGAGAGCCAATCACAGTTTGAGTCAAAAAATAAACACTCTACCATCAGGGCACAGCAACTTGGAGAACCCAAGGATGCTCTTAAAGGCAACCGAGTCAGGTGGAAAGGACTTGTAGTTAACCCCAAGGGTCCTCAGGTAGTCAACAACGAGACAACCTGAACATTATTAAGAACAATAAATTACAGTAAAGCTAGTCACACAAAATACATTGAAAGCAGTGAGTTCCAATACTGGGCAAGTCCTGTTAGCTACAGGCAGAGCATGCTAGGAACCAGTTCTCGTTTCTAATACTGATAAACAGAGAAAAGGAAAATGCAGGTGTCAGGCCTTTCCATACAGACCTCTCTTCTCTGCAGGGGAACCAGACAGTTGACGGGAGGATGTCTTTCTACGGGAGTGTGTGATGTCTCTCTCATGGGAGTGTGTGAGTGTGTAAATGAGTAGACAGAATGTGATCACATGACAGACCTCACAACATGAGTTGTGGCTCAGCAACTACAGAGCCACAAGAAGAAAGACACAGCGAGCTTCCTGACATGATTCCTTAGGAACCGCAGACATCAGCTCTAAAGAGGTCTCCCCAGCAGACTTGAACACAGGGAGGTCTTTAGGTAGAGTCACCGAAGAGTCGCCGATTTCACGCAAAGAGGATACAAGACAGCCTGTGTTGAGCCAGGACTGAAATACAGCATGGAGAACAGAGACTAGATGATACATGATGATTTTCTTCAACAAGAAAATGTCAAGAGGAAAGAAGAAAAGAGCAAGTGCTAACCCCTTAAAAGATAGCAAAGCCAGGCATGGCGGCACATGCCTTTTAATCCCATCCCTCACTCCGGAAGCAGAGGCAGGTGAATTTCTCTGAGTTCAAGGCTAGCCTGGTCTACAGAGTGAGTTCCAAGACAGCCAGGGCTACCTAGTGAGATCCTGTCTCAAAAAAAAAAAAAAAAAAAAAGAGAGAAAGATTCCAAAGAGACCTGAGGAAATTCCTGGTGTTATTTGAACAGATAACAAAACAGCAGCAACAACAAACCAAACAAGCAATGGAGTAAGAACTTCTGCAAAGGAGACAATGAGCAAGCATTGCAGTGACCGGCATTTCCAAAACCCTGGAAATTAACCAAGGGCTCGCAAAAGTCTAGGCAGTAATTACTCCAGAAAAACACAGGGTAAGACGAACAAAGACTCTGGGATATCAATTTGTTTATTTTTATTTTCCCCGTATTCTACGCCCATGGTAACCTTTTAAAGAAGTCTTTAACCTGAGTGAGGGCCAGCAGCTTGCCAGACCCTGCAAGAGTTGGGTTTGGAGCGCCTTAAAAGCCCAATTCCCAGTGGTCATTACTTGGCTTGTGTGGTAGTTTCCTGGAAGACCCCACTCACTAAACTGCCTGAACCTGACCTGTGAGTCTGCCTGGTACAAACAGCCTCCCCTGTGGGAGTTGTCAAAACATCAGAGGTTGTTTAAAATCAAGGCTATGAGAGGCAAATACCAAAAGCCCTCAGTGGAAGACCTGGAAAAACCATGTCCAATATATTCCTGGGAGTGGGTGGCCGTAAGTATGTAGTGCAGCCATAAGTATGTAGGACAGTCATATGGATGGAGGGGTGTCATGTGTGTAGGGTAGCCGTATGTACATAAGGCAGCTAAATGTATGTAGGGTGGCCTTATGTTTGTAGGGATTCCATATGTATGTAGAGAAGCCATATTATGTAAGGTGGCTAAATGTATGTAGGGTGGCCATATGTTTGTAGGGATGCATGTTTACCCAGAAAGGTCCATGAGGTCTCATCTGTTAACCCTGAAGCAGAGTGAAGATTAAGACAAAGTTGCCAATTATCTGGTTGCCTGTTGGAAACATACACACACACCTCACATATGCACATGTGCGCGCGCACACACAGACAGACAGACAGAGACAGAATTTCAAAATACATGACAATACAGAAAATAATCAGACACATCTAGAATGTTAAGCATTCTTTGGGACAACTAAAAAGTCAGTTGCTAAGTGTCTTTTGGCCATTTGAGATTCTTCTGTTGAGAATGCTCTGTTTAGTTCTGTACCCCATTTTTAATTGGATTATTTGGAATTTTGATGACCAATTGCTCGAGTTCTTTATAAATTTTGGAGATCAGTCTTCTATCTGATGTGGGATTGGTAAAGATCTTTTCAGTCGGCTGTCATTTTATCTTGTTGACCATGTCCTTTGCTTTACAGAAGCTTCTCAGTTTCAGGAGGTCCCATTTATTTATTGTTGCTCTCAGTGTCTGTGCTACTGGGGTTATATTTAGGAAGTGGTCTCCTGTGCCTATGCATTGAAGGCTGCTTCCCAGTTTCTCTTCTATCAGGTTCAGAAAAAAAAAAAAAAAAGACAACTCACCTGCTTGCTGTCTGCCTTTACAGCTTCCCTGTCCCCTTACCCCTCTGAGGAAATAATTCTCCCTTGTGTTGAGAACTTGGTGCCTGGGTGTTTCAGGTACCGACTCTGGTGGGGATCAACCTCCCTTATAACTCCTGCCTAGAAGGACCCACCAATGTGATCACCAGGTAGTTTCTTAGACTATGATTGATCCCATGGCCTGCTGACTATTTTTGTTTCCCTGCCAGGACAGTCTGCACTTTCAGGACAAACAACGTGACAAATTATATATATAGGAAACAGTTTTAAAATGGATTTTTGAACACACAAAACAAAAACTTCCTTTGAATAATAATAAAAAAAAACCTATTTGAGCAGATCCGTTGGAGGGAATAGTGTCACTACAAATGCAGGCTATAGTATCTTTGAGAAGGGTGCCTGTCACCCGCTTCCAAAATTTTATGTAAAACTATGCAAGCCAGAGGCCCTGCCAGTTTATGCAGGGCAGGGGTGGAGCAGGGTCCCTGGGTCTCCCACTTTGCTACTCTTAGAGTGACTACAAAGGCAACAGGAGTGGTTGGAACAGGGTGGGGGGACGACAGCATTTTATAAGGAGATCCTTCTTCAGAACTTAATATCTTCAGATGCTAGGGAAAGTAATTTACAACTTGAAATTCTTCTAAACCAGAATCCTTCGTTTCAATGACCAACCTGTCTGTCTCAATAAAAAGTTGGCACATAGACACATGATTAAGGGGAC